AAGGCAGGGTGGGTTTGGGGTGCGTCTCTGGGGAGCCCGTTGCTGGCTGGGGAAGGGGTTAAGAGCCCACCGGGCTTCCCGCTTTGCAGGGGTCTCTGCTCTTCCCACGCCCCAGCTCCCACGCCTGCTCCGGCCTCGCTCATGCCAGCTGGGGAGGTCAGCGATGAGACTTGTCACTTTTCAGCAATGCGGAAAATGTCCCCCAGCCTCTCCAGTGACGGCGCGTGGGGAGGAGAGGCTGAGTCGGTGGGAGCTGGCCTTCTGCTAGCTCCATTCCTCCGGGTCCCCTGCTCACCCCTTCTCTGCCAGCCCCCTGCACCCACGGGGACCCATCCGGCTCAGCAGGGTGCCTCAATTTTGGAATGTTTTAGCTGGGGTGGGGACCATGCTTGACCCTGGAGCAAGCCCTTCCTCTTCCCTTTCTGTGACCCAATCCCACACCAAAATTCACCTCCAAATTTTGAATTTGGCCACAAGGATTTGGTCTTCTGCAGCATCCAGGGAAGTGCCCAGAGCTGCCAAAGTTCCTCCAGGCTTTTAGGATCAAGGTGGGTCCGGCAGATTCAGCCCCAGGCAATGCAAAGGGATCTTTTACATCAGGGGGTGCAGAATGGGGTCCCCACCGTGGCTGCTGCCTTGATGCCAGTCAGCGATGGCTTCCAGGGGTGGCAGTGAAGCCACTGGTGTTGGGTTGTCACTATAGGCACCTGGGGCTCTCGTGGGTTGGAGGACACAGCCCCGCTGCACATCCTGGGAGCGTGCGGGATTTCCAAATGTCTGTCTCTAATCCTTGGGGGGCTGCGTAGGATTTGCATCCGATTAGAAGAGCGATTTAAAGGCCTGCCAGCTGTTGGGTCTGCAGAGGAAAATGTGCCATTTCCAGTCACTACTGAAACATATCTTTGCCCGAAAACTGGGGTGTTTGGGTCTGGGATGGGTTTTGCGCTTCCATAGAGCCAGAGCCTGCTGGAAAGGTCACTTGTGCTTCTGAGATGGGGTTTGGACCTGGTGGACCACCTGGAGCTGCTCCAAGGGCTGGTGTTCCTCTTCAGAAGACTGGGCTGTCAGGATGGTCGTCCCTCCTGTCTGGCTGAGCCCGGGGATGGACCCAGGGTTGAGATGGGATCTTTCCCCCATGCAGCCCTGCTCGCACTTATGTTAAACACGTCATTAATCTCATGCTTGATGTTAAGGATGGGGCTGGATCTGACCTTCCCGTGGGAAGGGAAGAAGGGAGAGGAGCTCACCATGAATCCCCAGGCAGCAAATTCGGTTGGATTTGGCTGAGCGGAGCCCCACAGCCGTTTCCTGGGCTTGTGTTGGATGATGAGCTTTAACTGACCTTGGCCGACCTTGGATGCTGCTCTCAGAGTAAGACAGGATTTGTCATTCCGAGTTCCCAAACCTGCTGGGGCTGGGACAGCCGGAGCGGGAGGCTGTGGTGGGATGGGGCACTGCGCAGGCTCCGCCACAGCTCGTGGGACTAAATGCATCCCGGCAAGGACTGCGAGTGGGACCCCTTCCCATGCACGTGCTTCCCATTAAAAATGAAGGGTGTTTTCCCCCCAAAACTATGATGTTTCAAGGCAAAGTGGGGTTTGTTGGGCTGTTCACATCACTCTGACGGAGGATTTGAGGTGCTGTGGCTCCTGTAGCGCTGCGTCTTTTTAAAGCCCATTTTTGAATGTAGTAATGATCAGTGGCAGTACTAGTGAGGATGGAGAAGCATCCAACCAACCTCGAGGACGGCACGCTTCCAAATGAAACCTCTGCTTCAAAGAAATGTCAAAACGCGGCTCCTTCCTCGCAGAGCAGAATTGCCTCATTTTTTTTAAATGTCAGCGTTTCCCAGAGAACAGCAGGGCTGTTCCAGCCCAGCCGGAGCTGGGAGCTGCGTTAGCTCCGGGGTGAGACTTTCCTACAGAAGGTGCTCCAAAGGTGCAAACCTTCCTTGGCAGGAGCGAACAGGATCCAGCAGGTCCCGTTCCCGGAGGCTGGGCTTCCCACCCGCAGGCAGCTGGGGCTGCAGCAGCCCACGCTGGGGCAGAGTGAGGCCCCCAAGCTTACGGTTATTTTTATTGCCGTGTTTATTACCTCTTAAATTAACCTCCTGGAGGCTGGTGCCTTTAAATGGCAGGGAAGGGACCTTGAGCAGCCTGTTGGCGTTGCGCAAGGTGCCTGTGCTCTTGGCACCCGCTGGGTGCAAGGTGTGTGCCGTGGGGAGATGGAGATGCAAATTCAGGCTGGGCACCCAGCGAGGTTCGGCTTATGGCACCGCACACGCATCTCACACCACTCCCCCCCCGAACATCCCTCTGTGCTGTGCGTGCTGCTGACCTACTTTCAGTGCTGGGGATCCTCCTGCCGGGCTGGCTGGGGAGGATGCTCTGCCCTGTGGTCCCTCGGGGACCAGGAGCAGGGAGCAAACGCCCGGCAGCTCTCCTATGTACCCCAATAAATAACGCAGCGCTGCAGGGACCGGGGAGCAGCACGGAGTGGCAGGACTCCTTGCTGAAGGCTAATGACCGGATGTCCCAGGACTTTTAATAGTTATTAATATTTTCAGCTAATAAATGGCCCATGACACCAGAGTTATTAATTAATGAGTTGGAGTGCCAAGACGTGGCCCATGACAAGTTAATAGCTAACGCCCACCGGGTGGGTAAATGTAGGATGGGGACTTGGTGGCTACGGGTCACTTGCGGGAGCGATGCTGGTGTCGCTGATCAGCTTCTGCGTGGACCTGGGTGATACTGCGTGTCCTGGGGGTTGTTCAACTGCTTTCTCAAAAGAGCCGCTTCCAAATGGGCCCTTATTTCTCTGTAAACGCCGTGGGAAAGGGATCCCTCTGGCCACGGTGATGTTCTCAGCCTGCGCTAATCTGTCTCTACTCCTAATCGCCCATCACTTAATCTACTTGCCGGGGATTTTGGGTACTGATGCGGCCTTGGAGAGGTGTCTGGGACCGGCCATGCCACTGGGCTGGCCCCGGGCACTGCTTATGGAGGGAGTGTGCAGTGCTGGGAATGGCATGGGGACTGCCATTGACTCATTCCTGGGTGCGTCTCCGTGCCGGGCAGGACCAGCGGGGCTGGGCTGGGGGCAGAGCGAGCCCCAGGGCAGGCCCAGCCCTGCGCGGAGTGAAGATCCCGGATGCGGGATGGGGTACCTTGTCCTCGCCAGGCTGCTGTTTCCATAAAGCTCAGCGCTAGGCAGGGTGGGAGCTTGAACTTTGGAGCACCTGGGTGTGTGAGCAGCTGGCCAAGGCGCCCTCCTGCCCCTGGGCAAACAGCATTGCCGGAGGATTACTCATGGGGCAACATGAGGATCCTGGAAATCGCAGAGGAGCTGAGGGCGAGGTGTTGCCGAAGTGCTGACGGCCTGGATTTCGCAGGCTCCCTGCGGAGATGCATCCCTGAGCACAGCCAGAGAGCGTGTGGGTTGGGACCATTCCTGAGGAGCATCCTCCGTGTGAGACCCCGAGCCCTGTCCTGCTCCCAGCGCTCGCTGCAGGCAAAGTCTGCAGGGGACAGGGCTGCCGGTGCCACTGTCCCTCCTCAGGATTTGCTGTTCTGGGAGCAAGGGGTTTTTTTATTGCCCATCAGCAATGAATTTGCTTTCATGCTTGCAAGTGAGTGATGGGGATTAACACCCTTCTGCCCTCCAAGGGGAGAGGGAGGACGGGTGAGGGTCAAGATGAGATTGACTTTCCTGGTGTCTCCTCTCTCGCTGCCAAGTCCCACTAGAGGCCTCTTGTTGACTTCAGTGGATTTTGGATCAAGCCCTCAAACATTAATAATAATGACTCATAAATCATTGCTTGCACCACCTGTTTGTCATGTTTCCACCCACAATAACTATATCAAGTGTTTTGAGAAGCTGAGCTGGCACGGGTTGTTTGTCACATCTGGACAGCAGTGTGGGAGTGCGGATCTGGCCGAGCCGCGGTGTGTGGTTTTTCCTGGCTGGAGGGGGAAAAGCCACACAAATTCCTTCTGCATGGGGTTTAGCATTTCTCCTGGGGTAGCGAGCTGGGTCTGGATGGGTCCTGGGAGCTTGTTTGCAGTGGGAGGGCTTACGCATGGTGCGAGCGGCAGAAAAAGGCTCTCAGGGATCCCAAATGTGTGGGGGGTGCTTCAGGGCTTCATCTGTTGAAGCACTGGAAGATCAGGGTTGCAGCTCCCTCCTTATCCTCCAAATCGCTGTGGAGGTGTCACCCACCCCGTGGCCTTTCACGTTGAAAGTCAACAGATGCCTTCTCGGGCAGCAGGGCTGGGTGCAGGGGCTGCCTCCCCATTTTCTCCCTTTCCCTGCAGCCAAAGCCCGAGAACGCCATCACCATCGCCGTATCGTCGCGAGCGCTTTTCCGCATGGAGGAGGAGCAGAAGATTTACAATGAGCAAGGGGTGGAGGCCTACGTGAAATACCAGCTGGACCATGAGAACGAGCCCTTCCTCCCCGGGGCTGCCTTCCCCTTCGTCAAGGTGAGCGCCCACCCACCTAAACCGAATCTGCACCGTGGTCCTGACCCAAGCGCTCTGGGGAGAGGGGAGGGCTGTGGGGTGCTCGCGTGGGGAAGGGATGGGAAATGGCAGAAGGCAGAAGGGATGTAGCCAAAGAGCAAAGAGAGGTCAAACAAACCTCCTGGCAAGTGATGTGCTTCTTCCAGCACTGAGGAAACGCTGAATTTTCCAAATTGGCAACTGAGCTCAAGAATTGAAGGAATTATCTCTTTGGATCATATTTAGTTTCCCTTTAGGGAATTCTCTTATCTTTCTTTTTTTTTATTATTATTACAATTTATTTATTCTTTTAAGTTGGCTGTATTTAGCCTTGCTACAGAGTCGGCCAATTTCTAAATGTGACATGTTGAAATGAAGCTTTTCAAACTTTAATAATATTTTCTAATTTCTGCCCTAATTCCACTGGATTTAGTGCAGTTTTGTGTGCTGAAGCAATCTCTTGCCCATTCCCAATGACTAAACAAATCCACTTAGTGGGGGGAGACTTGTTCCATTCCTGATTGCTTGAAAAACACTTATCTGCAACTTTGAGTTAATTTATTCTCATCTCCTAATGAGAACTTGAAACACTTTGTGTTTGAAAATAGAAGAGTAGCTATGTGGTTTTTTTCCCCCAAATCAGTCTTTTTTTCCCAGCTAAAGCTGCTTGCTGATGTCAGCTTGGTTCGTGGTGTAGTTGGGGTCGGGCCAGATCCCTGGTTTTGGTGAACAGAAGTGTTTTGCTCGGTGAGAAGGGGGTGAGGGTCGTGCCTGGGGCTTGCTGACACTCACCCCCCCTCCCACCCTGGGGTGCTGCAGGCGCTGGAGGCGGTGAACACGCAGCTGCGTGAGCTCTACCCCAACAGCGAGGAGCTCTTCGACATCGTCCTCATGACCAACAACCATGCCCAGGTTGGGGTTCGCTTGATCAACAGCATCAACCACTATGGTAAGCTCAGAGCGAAGCGGTCCTTCACGCGGGTGCTGCTGGCTTTTGGGCAGGGTGTTACTGCTTGGCAGCAAGATAAGGAGATGCTTTCTCCTGTCTCTTCCTCCAAACCACAAGCTGAGCCCCCTTCTTCCAAATTTCCTGGGCTTTGACTGGAAGTTGGCTGGTGGTGAGGACACTCTGGCTGCAGGCAATGCTGTTTAATGGTGGTAACAAAATTAGCCCCCATCCTGCCGACTCTTCGGAGCCCACGGGGGAGCAGTGTCAAGGACTGTTTGGGGGGTGACCATGCTCACCGCGGGGTCCATCTGCCCTCAGATCTGTTCATCGAGAGGTTCTGCATGACGGGCGGGAACAGCCCCATCTGTTACCTCAAGGCGTATCACACCAACCTCTACCTCTCCTCTGACGCTGAGAAAGTGAGTGAGGCCATTGAAGAGGGTGAGTCTGGGGTCCAGTTTGGGGGGGCAGCGGGGGGAGCCTGGAGCCCTCAGGGGGTTGGTGCCAGGAGCGATAGCTCCAATGTCCCCATCCCTGCGTTGATGCGCAGCTAGGGTCTGCCTTGTCCCATATCCCATCTTTGATGCTTCAAAGAGCCTCTAAAGAGCTCCACAGCTCTTCCAAGGCAAAGGCACTGTTTTTCCCCATTAGTTCTTGTATGCAAAGGGATGTTTATCATTTGGGGATTTGGTTTTGCTGTAAAAGGTCTTTGGGCCAAGCTGAAGGTGCTATTGGGTGCATGCATTTCCTTGCAGTGTTTGCTTCCAGTCCATTGTGTTTTGCTCTGCTTCTCAACAGATGAGCCATGAGGCTGAGTCCTTGGGTAACTGCCACCTCTTGCCTTGCGCTTTACCTCCACAGGGATCGCTGCAGCCACCATCTTCAGCCCCAGCAAAGACCTGGAGGTGTCAGAGAACCAGCTGCGGGTGGCATTTGATGGTGACGCTGTGCTCTTCTCGGATGAGTCAGAGCAGATCGTGAAGGCTCATGGCTTGGACATGTTCTTCGAGCACGAAAAGGCTCACGAGAACAAGCCTCTGGCACAGGTAGTGCTGGGGTGCAGTCAGAAAAAGCCTCAGGGAGGTCAGGAGACAGTCCTCAGCTCTTGCCCCTGGGAAGGGGCCAGCGATCGGCACGTGGAGTGTGAAATGGGGTGGGTCAGCAGCCCGGTGCTGCTGGATTTGGCCCATGGGATGGCTGCCGCTGGCCCCTCACTGTCGTTTCTGGGGGCTTTCGGGGAGAAGGGGTTAGCCAGCATGTCTGGCTCTGCTGGGACTGGGTGCCTGGAGGAGGGGACAGCATGGGGGTCTTGGGAGTCATGGTTTCTTCTTGCTTTGGCAGGGACCCCTGAAGGGCTTCCTGGAGGCCCTGGGGAAGCTGCAGAAGAAGTTCTATTCCAAGGGACTGAGGATGGAGTGTCCCATTCGCACCTACCTGGTCACTGCCAGGAGCGCGGCCAGCTCGGGAGCCCGGGCCCTAAAGACTCTGCGCAGCTGGGGCCTGGAGACGGATGAGGCTTTGTTCCTGGCCGGGGCTCCCAAGGGACCGCTGCTGAAGAAGATCCGTCCTCACATCTTCTTCGATGACCAGATGTTCCACGTGGAGGGAGCCAAGGAGATGGGCACCGTCGCTGCCCACGTCCCTTATGGCGTCGCCCAGAAGCACAAGCGGCCGGCGCAGGAGAAGCAAACCCCGAACAGCAAGTAGTGAAGCTGGGTTGTCCCACGGCCCCCGGCGTGCGGCACAATTTCACCCCGTGCACCACGCTCTGACCTGGCTTGTGGTCTGCAAGGCAGAGAGCGTTTGCCCTGGCGAGCGCGAGGTTATTCCCCAGCGACAGCCTTGGCGGGGGCACGGCTGGAGGAGGGGGCTGACGAAAGGCTTCCTTTCGCCTCTGTTTTCGTTGCAATGTCGTGGCGTTGTCCCCGTTCCTCATGGGGCCGGAGGCTCCCCTGGGCTGGGCAGCCCCACGAGCCATTCCCTCTCTTCCCTGGGCTCTGCGCTTGCTTCAGGCAAAATCCCTGGAGGAAGGATCTCTCTTTTTGTGGACTGTTTGTGCCAGGCAGGTTTAACCTATTGGCGTTTCTCTAAAACCCCAGGTAATTCCCAAAGCCGTTGATTTGCAAAGCAAATGTTCAGGCTGAACTGTTGAACTGGAAAGTTGGGAGCACACAAAACCCCTTCTTGCAGCTTTGAAACAAAATGTTGTCCCTTTTAACTAAAATTAAGCCATAATATTGTTCCTTCACAGATCCAGCCCCTGCTCCCCGACCAGAAAACCTTTCACGTCTTTGTCCTTCCACCAAGATTTTGTCAGCTGAACAGCTTTCCTTTCATGCACTAAATTTGGAAAAATAGAAACAAACACGTATATATATAAAAAAAAAAATAAATCCTGTTTCCTGCTTGGAGCTTTGGGCCAGTGTATTGTTGGCCCAGATTTTTAAATTTGGGTTTCACAGTTGCATGAGTTAGCACTTAAAAATAATAATAATCTCAGTGAGGCATCCAAAGCCCAGCTCTTGTGTGTGCCGTCCAGGGTCCGCAGACACATGCCTGGGGCTTGAATTAAGTTAAAAGCAGGCCCTAATATATTAGGGACATCATTTGAAGTCTGTTTAGGTGAATCTGCGGAGAATTTCAGCCTGGGGGTTTTAATTAAAGGATTTTTTCCCCTTTCTAGGCTGAGCCCATATGAGTTGATAATCTTTTTCTCCTCAGCTTCTTAAAACCTCTGGTGTTTCCTAAAATAGACACCTCTGCTAGTGATGCTGCGAGGGGGAACCAAATCTCCGATTAAAAAACAGGAAGAGAAATCAATTGGAGAGCTGCTCCGAGATCGGTGTGAAAATCACACTGACATTTCTGCACAAAGCCCTGTCCCAAAGGACACTCAGGGGAAACGATTACAGATTACTTCGTTCTTGTGGGCTTTTGTTCTTGGGTTTTTTTTTTTAAGGCAGTATACCCCATGGTTGAGCACGAAGGATGCCCAGTGCTATCAGACAGTAGTTTTTTACAAACACCAAATCCATGGGCTGAAGTTTTCCCAGGTACGTGTCTGCCTCCGGCTCAACTTTGCGGGGAGGTTTCAGCTAAAACAGCTCAGCCCTTCCCAACAGCGAGGTTAGAGCTCGAGTTATCGCACTTTTGACAAATATATAAACAAGCTAGTGATGCCTTCAGTAGCTTGGGAGACTGTTTTCTCATTGCACTAAATCCTGCTCGAGCAGTGAAAAGCAAATTGCACTTTCCCCCCCCTAAATTATTGCACTTTGACAGACTGTTATTTGTCATATCTGGGTGATGGGCACCTTAGAGGGTGGTCTAAAATCCAAACAAACAAACAAAAAGTCTTGAAAGAAATTAGTATCTCAGTAACCCATCTATTAATATCCACGTTTATAAAAAGGTCTCGTCTTTTTAATGTGAACCCCAGCTATTGGGATCTGAACTGTATCTGGGAGACCTTTTTGGCAGCTGGGAGGGGGAGAACAGCCTGGCCTCCCAGTAAACATTTCCAAGGTGTTTCCTGAAGATCGCATCGTGGAAGCCCAGCCAAGCCCAGCTCGCAAACGGGCTGCACCGGGGCCTCTTGCCAGCCCGGGAGGTGACATTGCAAGAGGAACAGGGTTGTCAGCAAGCCCTTAGGAGCCCCCAGCCAGCTCAGGGTGCTACTGGGATGGGATACAGGCTGCAAGCGCAGCCACTGGGGATGGATGGGTGCTTGCGCCAGGTGCCGTGAGGAACGTGCACTTTGGATGAGGGGTATTGGCAGGACTGGGCTGTGCAGGAGATGCCCTGCCTGAAAGTGCTGTCAGATCCAGGGAAGCAATGTGTTGTGGCTTTGGGGCAGGGCCCTGGATCTCAGCAGCTTTCACTGCTGCCTTTCCAGACCCTGAGATGCACAGGGAGTGGGGTGCAAGCTGGGGTGTGGGGGCACAGTGCAGGCAGGAGTTTTAGTGACTCTGCTTCGAGCCCTTCTCCTGCCGGGGCAGCTTAGGGGCTTGCTGGGAGACATGGGGCTCGGGAAATAAGCCCCAAGTGAGGTGGACCTCTCTTTGTATCTCCTGAGTCCTTCCTGTGGGGGGAGGATTTTCCGTTCCTGCAATGGCTGCATTTGCTTTTATCCACGTGGCTTCCTACGTTTTTTTTTCTCCTCCGTCACTACATCTGGCAGATGTGGATTTGCTGCTCGTCTACGTTCCTCATGTGCCTGTCTGTGACATCCCCTCAGGCTGGGGGAGCAATGCGGTCCCCAGGACGGCCCGCGTGGGCTGGGCACATCTCCCGCCCTGATGGGCCAGTGCGGTTGTCCCTCTTGTGCCTCACTGGCTGATGACTGGACTTTCCCGCTGTGTGTTGTTGCTGTGGGTTTCACTTCATTGTCCTCCGGTGTTTTTTTCTTGTGAATGGACTGCCATGTTAATGAAATCCCTCTGGGTGTTTTTCTGTAATAAACTGTGTTGGTCCCAGCCCGGCTCTCTCTATTGCCATTCTCACAATGGGTATTTTGGCTCCCCGGTGCAGCCAGCAGAGGAGTCTGGGGTCCCAGCTTGGGACCTCCCAGGTTTTATGGTGAAAGGGTGGGGGTGACGAGAAGGAAAAGAGCCTTTGGGGATTTAAGGGAATTCAGAAAATGTAATAAAAAGCAGCTACCTGGGAACTGGAGACTTCTGGGAGAGGTGGGATTCCAGAGTTGAGAGATGTGCTGTGATACAGCTACCTCCCTCTGCTTCGTGAACAGGCTTTTATTGTAACCTGGACTCGTGATGAAGTCCTGGATAAAAATACAATTTGGCAGACTTTTGTCAACTTGATCTTCTCCCAGCCAACAGGTGGGAGGCAGCAAAAGCTTTTTAGAGGAGATTTATTGCTGCTGAAGTACCGGGTTTATCCGAATAGCGACACTGCAGTTCTGGTGTTAGCTCCTCCCCGCCAATAAGGAGAACAGATGGGTTAAGGGGAAGCAACAAATTCTCCATCCGTCACCAAATATAGCCAAGGAATGTCCATAGGCCCCAGGGCAGCATCTCTGCTATGGGTGTTTGGATGGCCCTCAGCAGAGAGTGTTCTTGTACAGCCTTGCTTGCTGGAATGCCTTTCCTGCGCCCATCCCTAATCCTGCATGTTCTTCCACCAGATGCCTGGAGGAAAAATCAAATTCCAGCACTGATAAGGCCCATGTTCCACCAGTGAAAGTCCAGGTGGGCCCATCCAGCCTTGAGAGGTCAGGATGTCCATGCCAAAGCCAACAGCTGGCTCTGATGTTCATGCAAAAACCTCCCTAGGCCCTTGACTCGCTCTTGGGGACCATCGTTAGCACTGGGGCCAAGGAGACGACGGGTTATGGAGAAACATGGGCCAAGGCCGTGCAGGGAGGGATGGGGAGGTTTGTGCAGTTGGGTTCTGTGGTGTCTTGTTGGTTTGCTGCAAGCCAGAGGGTGTTTTGGTTTCTGTTGCCTGTTTTCTGAGCTTTTCCCTTCATCAGACGTTGAAGGGCTTTGCAATGAGTGTGCTTTAAAATAAAGAACATGGAGGAGGAGAAAGCGGAGGCAGAGCTGATGGAGAATTATGCTGCCACTCAGCTATTGTCAGCACAGATGTTCACAAGGTAATCATGGCCTTTGAATAGCAAGAACGGCTTTTCATAATGAATCCAGGATTTAACTCTAAGAACTTGTGGGACTTCTTGTGAGGGTGTGATGCCCCTGATGACCAGCTGCATGGCAGGGAGGTCAGGCAGAGTGTGCACTCTGCTCTTCTCATCCTCGTGTACATATGGTAAGTCATGACACCTCCCTGCCTCAGTTACCCCATCACTGTAACAGAGACCAGAATGATCCAGAGGTGACGTCAGGTCTGGAGGATGACTCCAGCTCCTTGCAGAAGAAAAGCAGAAATCCAGGAGTACTCTTAAGTGCAGTGAAACCCCGTATCTCTGTGGTGATGCCTGCATGCCCACCAGCAGGTCCCAGTGTGTAGGGGCCATGCAAACCCAGGGCTGTCCTGACAGCCCCGTGGTGTTGGCCATGAAGGGTCCCAGGCTGCACTGGCGCAGACTCTACCTTGTCCCTGCAGCGCATTTTGTTTTACGTCCTTTCTGGAGCACAGAATAGGAGCCAACAAATGTGAGCAGGGACCTGCAGCCATCCCAGGAGGCTAAAATGTCAGGGCAGGAGACTTGGTGACAGGGTGACAGAAACACCCGGAGTTGGAAGAATAGATAAGAGGACCTGGCGGCAAGAGAACAAGCAAAGGGCACTTGCTATCAGCACTAGTGGGATCGTGCCAGGATTTGGACAGCCTGACCATCTTGTTCCTTCGACACCGCTATTTATAGCAGTGTTCGCTGATGCCTCTGTCACCGGAGCCTAAAATGGTTCCCCCATGTGCACCCGGGGCGGCTGGGCTCAGCCATCCCGCGCTGGGGAGGCCACCAACGAAGCAGTGACTCAACGGAGCGTGTGTGAAGCTGCTCATCGCCCCGCTGACGGAGGAAGCCAGCATCTCCCTCTGCCAAGAGGCAGCTCCACGCTGGGCCAGCTCCTTGGAAGATGCACCAGACGGTTTCTGTTTAAGGCCTGGCCCCTCGCCAGGAAGAGTCAGTGGGGTAAATAGACCCACCTTCCACCCTGGCTCTTCCTCCCCGGCTCCCAGAACTGGGGCTTGTCCAGCTCTGTCTGGGAGACAGCGGTTTCCACAGCTCGAATGTTCCTTAAGGTAGGTGAGGGGATAGCTCTGTGCATTGCCCACGCTGGTGGAAATAACCCTTTGGTTACTGGGCAGGAGCAAAATGTCAGAAGGCAAGAAGCTTGTAACTGCCGAGCAAATATGCCCCGTTCCCCGCCTGGAGATTCGCCTTTTAAAAAACTGCTTTGTTTTTCCCAGTTCTACCCGAGCCAGGGAGCAATGGAGGCGGAGACCTCTCTGTCTTGGCTTTTTCCCATTCCTGCAGCGAAAGCTTCGTTACCAGGGCTGCACTTCAAAGCTTTGCTGGCAGCGCTGTGCCGGATAGGACTGCGCACATAATCCCACCGAGGAGGAGAGGAGGGGGTCTCCACAGCCTCGGGGCTACAGATGCCAGGCAAGTATGGCTGCACCCGCCAGGGAGCGACGGCCAGCCCCACGCTGCTGAGACCTTGGCACCACCGCTGCCAAATTTTCTGATTGAATGACTTGAGAGGAGATGGCCATTAGCATTTAAAAAAAAAACCAAAACAACAACAGATAAAACCCTCAGGGACAGCATCCAGCAGTCCTGCATGCAGGATGGGACTTTTGCTTGTTTTCTCTTAGGGCAAATTGCACGGTTATCCCTTCTCTCTGTGGCACAGAGGGGATGCAGAGCCCGGGACCAGCTTTGAATTTTTAAGCTTTACTCAGTGGGAGCTCTCACATCCCGCTGGCCAGTGGTACCCATGCAGCCGGAACTAGCCCACACTTGTGCTGTGGCTGTGTCCTTGTCACCGTGGCCATCAGCAGCGAGCAGTGGTTTCCCCCTCGAGATAAAGCAAACCTGTCTGGGGCCGTGCATGTTGGCATCTGCAAGCAGCAGAGTGGACACTGTTTCCCCCCTGAAATGGGGACCACTTCCAGTCACAACATGCAGACCACTGCCTTTCAAAGCACTGCCCAGACGCGGCAAAGCCCCGAGCGAGGAGTCTGTATCTGGGGAATTGCGTGAGAGGGAGGAGAAATAAGGGGAAAATTTGCTGCCATGGCCTCAAGAGGGAAACCTGGCTCTGCCAGCCCTGTGCGGCGCTTGCGTTTGGGCTGCATCTGTCAGGAATAAGTGCATGGGTGGAAATGGTCGCGAGTGCTGGAAATTCACACCCATCCTGGTGGGGATGAGTTTACCCCGGGGAATGGTGGACCCGTTTCTGCCACCACAGACGTGGGGACAGGGACGGAGACGGGGATGGTTGTGGTGCCGAGCGGGTGCCACGAGAGGGCGTGAAGGGCTGTGAGTGATGGTGGCAGGCTTCCCCCTCGCTGGCATCCTTCATAGGCCAACATGCTCCAAGTGGCATCGCCTCCTTCCACGGTACCGCCTGTTGCTCCTTCCCCTTCAGGTGTGTGTTTGGGGAGCACGTGAGTGGGCATCTCTGCCTCAGCGCAGCCCCGGTGGCCATCTTAGCTCCGAGGTGGTCCCCAACCCACCACCACATAGGGTATGTCCTCCATGGGGAAGGGCAGCTGCTTGAAGCACACCGAGATGGGAATGGAGAGGTTTTCCTCAGTGTCAGCTCCAGCACAGGGCGCCATGTCCATAAGTGTCAGTGTGGCACTGAGGTGGCGCCGCCATCTTGGGCACTGTGGCTTTGAGGTGGGGCCACCGTCTTGGGTGCCACAGCAGGGTGGCCACCTCGGGCACCATGGCAAGGCTTCCATCTCAGGTGCTGAGACAAGGTGGCCACCTCAGGCACCTTGTCACCCGGGGTGACCAGGCTAGGGGGCCATGGGGCCACCCGGCACGGCATGGCTGGGGCGCTGGGGGGCCTTTTCTG